ATTATTGAATTATTTGTAAACCGGAAATTATGAATTCCGGTTAATGATTTTAGCAGCGAATGGTTGGTCTTTCACGGGATTGATAGAGAACACTCTCTCTTATCTTCTTCAACCTTCTCGACTAGTAAAGCCGCGAAAATCAAAAGAACCATGGCTCTGGTTTTGCCCTGTACATTTTGTACTTCGCTTCAACGGAAGACTTTTTCGGTTAATCGGCGAAATTCACCGAATCTCCGGCGAGGAGTTAAGGCCACGACGTGTGAATTCCGGATCCCTGTAGAAGTTTCCACTCCATCAGATAGAGGATCGTTATCTGTTCCTTCGCATAAGGTCACTGTTCACGATCGACTACGAGGAGTGGTTCACGAGTTTGAGGTTCCAGAGGTATAGATTTTGATCCGCGTATTGATGTTGTTTGTTGCTTATGGCTGATTCGCGACTCAATCCGATTCATACCCCTAACTCATTTGCTATATCAGAAATTCAGAATAGAATCTGTGATTAGAGAATGTTCATAGCTTGGATTAGTCATATTTCGAATGTATGCTTTAGATTTGCGCTGTATTGTAGAACATTGTAGAACAATTCATATATAATGCAATGTATGTTCTGGAGCATAGAGATTCATGTATTTTATAGCTCTGGATCTAAAACTAGATTGCATAGTGTAGTTGACATGATCTAAACTATTTTCTTGGTGTAAAACAATATGAATCAGCTCTAACATCTGGACATCGCATAGTGTAAGTTGACATGATCCCAAGTTTTTCCTTTTGTTGATACATGGAAATCTTATTTGAAATGCAGGATCAGTATATATTGCACTCAGCTGAATCTCAGAACATTACTCTTCCGTTTGCTTGCAGACATGGTACTGTTCTATTGATCGATTTCAGTTTGTTGCTAAGACCTTCTACAGTGTGTATATGTTTCCTTTTCGTCGGCTTTTATCTCGTATTTGAATTTTTAAAGGTAATGTAGATGATGATTAGGATGAGCTAATCAGTAAAGGAGTTTTGTTAGAGCTATATGCATGTAAAATATTCCTTTGAGATTTGAAATGTTGAAGTTTGCTTTGGCTAAGCGCTCAACTTAGTTTTGTGTCTCGTCTAGAGTTTGAGATCTTACAATCTTACGTGAGCAGGTTGCTGTACTAGTTGTGCCGTACGTGTAAAATCTGGAGAGCTGAGGCAGCCACAAGCACTGGGAATATCAGCAGAACTGAAGTCCCAGGTAATACCCCTTTTCCTTATCCTGGCTAGAGACACAAGTAGACTGGAACTATGTTGACGAATTGAAATGGTGTTAGTATATGTCTGTGAGAAACAGGACCAACTCTTATTGAGTCATCGAAAACAATGCAAGGCTGTAAACAATTACTCAATTGTTAGGTTGCAGTCCCCTACGTGAATACTTTGATTTACATTATACGTTTTCGTCGAGTTATCTTACTATTAGCGTTTAGGTGAATGTGTATTGTATTTTATAGGGAACAGCTTCTTCTTCTTCCTAACAAATAATTATATTGAAGTACAGGTTTAAGAATTAGGACAATAATAGGTGTGCTAATCCTTTAGAAAGCATAGTGATTTTGGTACTTAGATCTTGATTTCAAGTTTATATTGGATTAAGTTATGTGGCTTATACATGCAGGGATATGCACTTCTTTGTGTGGGTTTCCCTACATCTGACCTTGAAGTAGAAACACAAGACGAGGACGAGGTAGCTTATTATAAGAATACAATTATTGTATTTTCTCATTTCATTACAGTTACACAGTTCTAAATATTATGGCATACACAGGTCTACTGGCTACAATTTGGAAGATACTTCGCTCGTGGACCAATTGTAAGTTTCCAGAACAAAAAAAAAATATTTGGTTCAATTTTCTTGGTACAAGTCTTCTTAATCAATCAAACCACCAAATGGTGAAGTGTACCTTGATAAATCGATAGATAGACTTAAACCTGTTAAGAAACTTATAGCTTGGTTTAATTTAATAGGAGGCCGTTCACTAGGATTCATAATGGATTTGATGCTGTCAAGAATACCAAACTTATCATTATTATTATCAGGATTCATATTGATTTAAAATTCTTTTAGTCTTTACTAGCATTGGTCTTTTAACAGAGTAACCAATGTTACATTGCAGGAAAGAGACGATTACGCCCTTGAACTCGCCATGGGAGACGAATAGAAAACAAAGAAGAAGCATGTAAAGTCGCAAATTTTCTGTATTAGAAGTGACTAGTGAGTGTTACTTCCCTTGTCCTGAATCTCGTTGTGCATCCTCGTAAGTCTCTTAATGAACTCACTGATACTCCAATAAAACTTCTCAACAATTCAACATTGTGTGAAAAAACGAAAACCTCATGAACCTTTTAAACCATTAACTCCAAAAGTCAAGCATAGTTTTGTTTGCATATCAATAGCCTCTAGTTAACTGGTAACCTTTGGTCCTAAGTAAGGTCAATAATTCAAAGTTTGTATGTGGGATATATACATAATTACATATAACTGTGGTCCATGTGAGAAGGAAAGGCAATGCTCGTGTGACCGTAAAGAGATGATGATAACACAATGTGGGCATATATATGAAAAATGCTTTTTTGGTATATGATTCTTTTGTTCCTTTGTTATCTAACCGAACTTTTATGATAATTTCTCACTAGAAGGTCTAGAACATTTGCATAGGAATATACCTCATTGATATTTTCTTAGAATTGGTCTCTTTTGACATTAACGACACTGACTTGAAAACCGACTGAAAAAAAAAAAAAACACTCACCAACCCTTTTCTGACATCTCTGTGATGATATGTTCCTGTCTCAACTTGTGTGTGCATGAAAAAAAAAAAACCCGATAATTTTGGGTCTGATTTATAAGTTTGGCAGTTGCTACTAAGGTGTCAGCATTTGAATGGACTACTACTAGTCTATGTGTTGATGTACTTTCTTTTTTTGAGTATGATTCATTTTTTTTTATCTTGGAGTGTTTGTGTTTGTGTTTGTTCTGTGTATGTTGTAAAAGCTCATTTGCTCTACTAACTTTAATTTTGTGTGTGTGTGTGTGTGCGCGCTGTGGCATATACTCACTTTTTATTTTTATCTAAACTATGTAGTTACCATTTTTCTTTGTTTTCTATTATTTGGGTTTTTGAGTATGCAATTTTCATATAATACTATTTGATTTATATATAGAAAAAAATACTAATCGTTAATTTAGTTTTACAAATCACAACAAATGTCATGTTAGATTATTTATTTTAAGATGATAATATCGTGTTTAAAATTTTTAATGTAAATATATAGAATTTGTTCCTAATATAAATAAAAAGAATATTAAAGACAAACATAAAAAATTACATAAAAATTTCCTTTTACTAAAATAGTAGAACATTTATTTCCTTTATTTTATAGGCTGTGTGAAAACTATAGGACATACATTTATCTCTTAAAATTATTGTTTCTATCATGTCTTCTTTTTTTTTTCTTTAGATTTATCGTATTTTTTTTTTTAATATGGGATATTTATTTGCCATAAAATGTTTTATACTGTTACTGATTGGTATCGTATATAGAATTGTATAGGAAACCTGTATGCCAAAAAAATATGATGTTAACAAAATACAATGCAAGTTCTAAGAAATAGAAGTACATAAAATTTGTTAAAAAAAAGCTGAGAATAATAAAATTTTAATAACACAATTTAAATAATTTATTGTTTTATATCGTTTTGTAGTTAGTTAATTACTTGTCATTGTATGTATTGACATATTTATGCTTTGACTAGTATCAGAGCAAAAGTTAGGATATCATAACCTTGCAGTATTTGATATGGTGAGAGATTTGTTTTTGGTAAGTGACGTGACACTGACATGAAATGTCAAAACATGTATCCACTGCTAGATTTGGCTGCCGAAATTCTTGAAATTTTTTCTTTCTATATACACTTATCTCTAAATACTGTTAATAGCAATCTATTTTTGGTTAATACAGATTTTTCTTGACTAGTCAAAAATAGCATTAACATCTATCTCAAAAAAAAAAAAAAATCACATGGATTTTTTTCATTTTCTTCCTCGACAGAGAGCATCATCAGACAAGAAAACGAAACTTTGATCTTATCCTTAAAAAAAAAAAAACAAATTTCAATTCTCCAAGCAAAAGGTTTCATCAATAAGTCTTTGCCGTGATCCAAAGAAACGAAAAGACATTCGAAAGACATATAAACCAACCAAAGATCAAATCGTAAGTGAACCCGTGAGTCTGTTTATATGCATAGACATACAGATTTTGCATGGAATCTGTTTTATCTATTACATCTTCGTTCCTAGTACTGTTTTGTCCTACTTTTTTTGTTATTTTAGGTACGAACCGTAAACATCTTCTTTGTTAGATTCGATAATATTCAACAAAAAGAATCAAATTATTTGTTTAAGAGGATAAGTTTTATTTGATTCATATACATCAAAATTAATCTTACTTACGTGTTGTATTTTTCATTTAGACGTATACTAAGTTCGAACAGTTATGGTGGGACGGAAAAAAACTGTTTTATGATTGAAACACTTTTTTATTGTCATTCTAAAAATTATAGTTCGTATTGATAAATATCCAAAAAACAAAAATCACAGTAGACCAACTATAGACTGTTTTAACGTATAAATAAATTTGATATGTAGTATATTGGTGTTCATCTTATGAATAGAGTGAACTAAATCATCTATGGATTAGTACACTTTATCCGCAACATTCATTCAAAGCCTAATATTCGTTTTTAAAAATTTTAGATTTATTTTTTTCAAATTGAATTTCTAGAGTTTTTTAGTAAATATTTTGCTAAAAATTTCAATGTTAATTTTTAAAAAAAGAACTTACATTAGTGGTATAGTTTAGTTAGAAGTTAATAAATATTTTAGATGCAACACAATTTAATTGTAACTGACAATTTTGCTTGAAAAGAGAAAATAAAACTCATATATGCATATTAATTAGCATTAAAAAAAAAACAATCTCTTTTCTTCACCATAAAATTTTAGCTTTTTGATTTATGAATTACTCTTACAAACTGGTGAATACATTTTTACTTAAGAGAAACAAAAGACAAAGAAGAAAAGACAAAGAAACTTAAGAGAGATAGATAGACAGATAAATAGATAGATAGATAGCCCTATACAAACGAACAAAGAGGCCAAAGTCACATAAGTTTCGACAGATTACATATTTTTTTTATTATTTACTTCTGAAAACATCACACCGCCGGATTCTTGATCGAAGAGAGACATAACAAAAGATTTGATTCTTCCTCTATATATTGCTCATAACTCAATATATATTTGATAGGTTTGGTCCAAGTTTTAGTTGTTAAACTTCACATCAGGAGTCGTGCTCGAAGAACCCTACAAAAGCATTATCAAAAACATTATTATATAAAGAAGCATTCTCATGTAAAGAAGAGGAAGAGATAATTTGGTGTTCTTTTGGGTGATACCGAGGACTAACCCCAATAACGGATGTAACAAAGTTACAAACGGCACATTTCACAGATCTTGCTCCGTATTGATACATCAATAGCATCCTGCAGTTTCCACAGTTCACATGTGCCACTTGATTGGCTGAATACACACATGCAAGAACATAATAAGAGAGTTAGACCATTTTCTCTCATAATAGTTTTTATTTCTCTTATTCATATCTCAAAACCTAAAACTAAACTTGACCCACATGTAAACAAAACTTGTTTTATCATAAAAACCAAAAACCAAAACTAAAAGTAATTTTTCTTTTAAAGTTTTGAATAACAACAAATAATAAACTAGCCCAGAGATATAATATAATATTAAATAATATGAGTTTAAATCCGCATGTTGTTGATAAAACCGACATATAATATAATTTAATAAATAACGAAATCAATCGTAAAACTAGTTTTAAAACGGTTTTATTTGTTACTTATATTCCTTAAACCCCAAAAAAAAAAATCAATCAAAAATCATATTTAATTAAACAGCAAAGATCGATCAATATGCATGTAAATAATTTATATATCTAATGCAAACCTTCGAGGGCGAGATTAACAGTGTGACAACAAGAACACTGAACACTTGTAGCTCCACGAATGTACATAAGAAGAGTGTGACATCCTCCACAGACCAACTGTGCCATCTCCGTTCCTACATTGCCCCCAATCGATTATTACAAAACACTCTTTAACCAAACTATTTTTGTTTTATGATGATTTGAAAAAAATAATTACCCGGCGGAGGAACGGCCGTGACGGCGTTACAGACAGCGCAACAGACAGAGGTTGCTCCGGCCGGGTACATCAGAAGGTTTCTGCAACCTGAACACACTAACTGGCTCTGTCCACTTGTACTCCCTCCTACAAATCTCAAAGTGTTTTATGTACTTTTTGACCAAATTTAATTATGAACGAACACATGTGGTAACAAATAAAAATTGATCTTTCAAAGAATCAATGAAACAAAAAAGTAATCTTCTTCTATATAAAAAAACATTTGTTAAAGAAACTGAAAACAGAGGATTTTTTTTGTTTTTTACCATGTGTCGGCGGAGGAGCATACGGCGGCGCCATCACCGGAGCCGGAGGAGTTGGATATGGTGCAAGAGGGACTGGCATTATTAAACTCTCAAGAAATGATGATTACAAAAAAGTTTTTTTTTGGATAAATCTCTTCTCTCTCTATCTCTCTTTAGTGACTTAGAAGAAGAAGAAGAAGAAGAAGAAACATGATCTTGTGTTCTTTCTTCACTTCTTGTCCCAATTCCTCACTTTGACCATCTAAATACAAAGAACACACATAAACCAAAATGATGAACCAAAGATAGGAAATAAAAAAGCTAACAAGAAAGGAAACCAAATCCTTTTTTTCAAAAGGGAAATAAATCTTTTGATAGATATTATGAATAAAGATTGAAGATAAGTGGTAAACTATTTATAAAAGGGAAAAAATAAAAACAAATCAATGCTTGAAACTTAAGAAACATGTGAAGGACTAACTTTTTTGTATTTTATTTTTTGTTTTTGGGGTTGGTCACACCATCGGCATGAAGCTCTTTGACTAAGAGGAGAGGAGAGTGTGGAATCTCGTTTTGCAGTTACATAACGTTTGTGTTTTTGTGTGTAATGATGATGAATTTTGGAGAGTTACGAGAAAAAAGAAGAATGTGAATTGCGGAAACTTTTTAAGAAGAAGATTTGTGTATTATTATTGTTTTTTATTATTTATGTGTTGTGATTGTGAGGAGTGGAGTGGGGCAAACACACACCTTCTCTTTGCAACTTGCCTTTATCAATTTTTAAAATTAGTGAGTATATATATATATATAAATGAAAACATATTTTTAGGAAAAAAAATTAAAATTGAGAATCTGAACTTCTAGACTCAAGTAAAGAGGTAAACTTTCTTGTAAAAAGTTCTGATTTTTGTTTTGAATAACCAATTTAGAACTCAAAAATATATTAAAAATAAATGATTTTTAATAATTTATAAATTTCTTTAAAACTTATACTTAAATTTCATACTATGCAAAATATAACATAAAATTGTAGGTCGATCAATTTGTTATTTTTTAATGATTTAAAAAGTGAATTATCCGTTTATTTTTGTAAAATCTCGAGAATTTTGGTAACGACTTAAATGTATATTATTGACCCCAAAAGTAGGACTTCTACATATAATATGGATATGTGACGTTGACGGTTAATTTAACTATAATTTCCGATCGATTGTTAACAAAAAGTTGAGCAAGGAAGCTAACTTCTACCTCTCCGCAAAACTAGGGTCCGTGGCAACAATATATATTAATTGAATATACTGAATCCGCTGGCAACAATATGTATAGTGATACGTTACGTTGACAATTAATTTAATACACTATAAATTATGATCGATTGTTAACAAGAACTTGAGTACAAAAGTTACAAATTTCACCGCTCCAAAAAATTGGAAAACATGTCCGTTGGCAACATATTATAATGTATATGGACATGTCACGTTGACGATTAATGTAATTCACTATAAAGTTTGATCTACCGTTGACAAAAGACTGAGTACGGAAGATTGAGTAGGTAAGTTAAACTTCCACCTATCCGAAAACTTAGGAAACATACAATGTATGTTGGCTACATATGTTAATGTATATGGATACGTTACGTTGATGAGTAATTTAATACACTATAAATTTTGATCGTTCGTTGAAAAAAGATTGAGTACGGAAGATTGCGTACGAATGTTAAACTTTCACTTTTCCGCAAAATTGGGAAACATATAGATGTATGTTGGCAACATATTATAATATATATATATATATAGATACGTTAAGCTGATGGTTATTTCAATACACTATAAACATTGTTCGATCGTTGACAAAATGTTGACATGTTATAATGTATATGGACATGTCACGTTGACGATTAATACAATATTATAAATTCCGATCGATCGATGACCAAAAAAATTAGCACGAAAATTAAACTTCCACCTCTCCGAAAAAGTGGAAAAGATACACATATCCGTTGGCAACATATATATATATACACATTGTAAACTCCAATCGAATTCAATATTTATTTTTACTATCAAATTCAATACATTTTCACCAATTTCCCATAAAAATAGGTATGGTAAGTTTAAACCTCAAAAATATATATATGTAACATTAATCATAATTACCAAGGGCCAGGCTAGGCAACAAATAAAATAAAACTTACTATGGGCCATGCACACAGGAAATTTCAGTTACCCAATCAGTGGAAACTTGGTTTCTCTCACTCTTTTGTTTTACCAAACCTTCAACAATTTATTGTTTTGCAGTTCATTCAATTCTTATATCTCTATAGGCTAAATCATAAAAGTTCACTTTTATATGAAAATGTAACAATGAGTGTGATTATTTGGTTGGGATATCATATCAAAGTTATTTGGTTTGCCAATGTTTACTACTTATTTGATGGGGACAATTTCTCATATAATGTTTATATATACTTCTATTTCTAAAAAACCTTTTTTTGAATATTCTTCTTTTATTATCTTGTTATGTCAAGTACACACACTTCACATGTGACATGGTGTGAGTCACGATCTCCATCGTAAAATCTCCTTTTGTTTTCTTATATATATGGATTTGTATATAATATTGTAATATTGTTGTCATGTAGATTAGACAAACAAACCCAAAGAAAAAAATCGAAATATACATAAATGAAAATTTCGTGACGAAGGTGCTATAGAAAAATAGAATCTAACTCAAAATTCAGACAAGTGTTCGTAACCTAGAAACAAGAATGGTCCACAATCAGTTTGGTGATCAAATTGATAGGTTAAGATTCATAGTAGAAACTTCTCTAGCCAACAACATAGGTCATAGACGACTCAATAGTATCAGGAACTCTAATATGCTTCTAATATTCATGTACTCAAAACGAAAACTTCAAAAACATATATGCACACACAAAGGTTGGTTTAATCGGTTTTGGTTGGTTCAAAGAAGATTTTGTTTGTCTAAGTAATAAAACTAATTATCATGCATTGTCAATCAATCCTGGTGGTAGGAAGGGTATAAAGAAACTTAAAATTTTATAAGTAATTGGTTAACGGATTTACAAGAAAAAATGATGAGTTCAGAGAATGTATTAGTAACGTAGTTCAAAAGAAAAGGATTGCCACATTCTATATATATTGCCCAAAGATCTTAATCTCATCTGATGTTGGACTTTGGAACTCTAATAGAATGTTGTGAATAAGAAAAAAGAAACACTAAGCCATTCAATAGCTTTATATATATATATATATATGAACAAACACTCGGATTCAAAAGGAGGCAATATGGGTAATGTAGATGTGACAAAAATGGTCGATTTGTTTATGGGTGGGAACAAAGAGAGATTTTGAGGTCACACAGTGGAAAATCCAAACATCTTGTCCAAAGGAATTGCAAAAAGAAGACACTTCAACAGAAGATGCCATTTCCATAAGCAAGCATACACTAAGTAAAAATTTATCAAAATCTCTCATGACCATGTATGTATCATCAATGTATGTATGTGGTGTGGTATTTGTGAGGAATGGGGAAGAATAAAAAAGGACAAAGGAAAGAGTTAGATGAGAACAATTTTTTTGGACATTGACGTCTCTAGAGACTCTTGGATAGCCATTAAAGTGCGGCTATGGAGTTGTCCACGTCTTACTTCAAAACTGTGATGGCTCAGCTTATGAAGATCCATACAACAAAACCCCCTTTTTTGTTTTCTTTCGTTTTTTTTCTTTCTTTTTCGATATGACAAAGTGGTAAATTCTATAAATGTAACACAAGAGCATGCATAGAGAATAATAGTACTATTATATTTGTTCATATGATGGTATGTGCAACTCTATATTATAAAAAAATAAAAATACCGAAACGAACAAAATCAAGAAATCTCTACATGTATAGTGAGCTGCATGAAGTTATATACGATCCCATATTCCCATGTCTTGTCAAAACAAATATTTTATTCGATTCCACAAACTAGCTAGATAAGAGCATCAAAGGATCGTAAGACTAAACCGAACCAAAACAAATGTTGGAATCCAAATTGAACAAAGATTTGCTTAACCAATTAATTTTACTATCTAAATTTATTTATAATTAAAAATTCTAAAAAACCGAATTTGAAAGCGAACTGTATATCATAATGTACATTTTAACATTTTTAATACAAGATATGTTAATATAACATATACTACTAGCTAACCTCTATCATTATATTGTATACAAATTATAAAGTTTATTTTCAAACAGAAACCAAACCGAAATCAAACTACACCAAACCAAAATTGCTACAGAACCGATAACAAATCAACCGAAATCAAACAAATAAACCGGATATCAGAAGCAAACGCTGTCGTTTAGCCTCGCATATCTGGGCCAAAATAAGTCCGTATCATGTTAACGGGCCAAAAGCCCATAAATATATTCTAATGGCGCCGCCAGAAATGGAAGAAACCGAAACCAAAGTTTATATCTCTCGGCTCTCTCGCATAACCTTTTTCGCCGAAACTCATCTTCTCAGCCGAGAAAAACATTTCAGCCATCACCGATCAGTGAGTTTTTCTTCTTCTTCTTCTTCTTCGTATTCCTCCATCTCCATCATCGGAATCATTATTTCTCAATCTCTTAATTTTATGTATTTTCGATTTCCCGGCTGGGTAAAGTTTTCATTTTTATTTCATTTTCTTATCGTTTTATGTTTTGACAGGTTTTGGTGTAAAATTCAGAAATGGGTTGTACTGTGAGGGAGAAGCATGTGAAACCTAGCCGTAGGATCCGACCCGTTGCGTTTAGATCCGACCCGCCTTTGTGTTTGATCGAGAGGATTGCTCTGTCGAAATCAATCGTTGAGTCGAGTCTCAAAAACCTTGTTTATCATCCAGGTCTTAGTGATTCTGGCTCTGTAAATTCGAGCCCTAGCGAGGAGAATATTTGGGGTTATTGTACTGAGGAGCATTTGGAAGAGATATTGCTGAAACATTTGGAGTTTTTGTATAGCCAAGCTGTTTCCAAGCTTCTTGACTTGGGTTATGAGGAAGGTGTTGCCATTAAAGCGGTTTTGAGTAATGGTCACTGTTATGGTGAATTGGATGTTTTGACAAATATAGTGAATAACTCATTGTCTTATCTGAATAGTAGTAGCGGTGGATGTGGAGGTGATAGTGATGGTAAAGGTGAGGATCGGTCGGAGACTGGTTTTACGGATTTGAGAGATTTGGAGGAGTATTCTCTTGCTGGTATGATTTACTTGTTGCAACAAGTTAAGCCTAATTTGAGTAAAGGTGATGCAATGTGGTGTTTGTTAATGAGCGAGCTCCATGTTGGTAGGGCGAGTACTATGGATATCCCAATTCCAGGGAATAGGGCTAGTTGTTGTATTAAGGAAGATAGTAATAAAGAGGATGTTGGTAGTACTTTAGATCTTGCTGGTTTTATGGCACCAGCATTGTGTCGATTCCATGGAGGTTGGGATTTTGGGAATGGTGGAGGGCCTGAGTTTTCTGGTAAAGGGTTTTCTACAAATGGTGCTGAGTTAAAACTGCAGAGAGAGATTGATTGTCCGAAAAGGTTTAATCTTTCGCCGTCCATGAAGTCCTTGTTGAAGCGGAATGTTGCAGCTTTTGCTGCTGGTTTTCGTGCTAGTATGAAACAGAAGCAGATACAGTCTGAAACTAGTGGTGATAGCATATCTTGTAACGATCCTGTACGTGTGGAAACTTGTGAGCAGCAGCCACGCAAGACAGGGAGTGAAGAAAGTGTTAGTTCGGTGTTGGAGAAATTCCGTGATCTGAACCTTGATGATAATCTGGAATCGGTGGGCAAGGATGATAAGGATTGTGTGATAGTCAATCTGCTTCATCAAGTCAAGGATCTCGAGAAAAAGTTAAAGGAGAGGAAAGACTGGGCTCAGAAGAAGGCAATGCAAGCTGCTCAAAAGGTCAGCGAAGAATTGGCTGAGCTTAAGTCATTGAATAGTGAAAGAGAAGCAATCCAACTGCTGAAAAAGGGTAAAAAAGCTGTTGAAGAATCAACCATGAAAAGATTAACCGACAAGGAAAATGAACTTAGAAAAGCTAGTGGTCAAATGGACAGAGCAAATGTTATAGTAAGAAAGCTTGAGAATCAAAATGCAGAAATCCGAGCAGAGAGGGAGGGTTCCAAGTTAAGTGCTTCAGAATCGCTTAAAGCATGCATGGAAGAATCAAAGAAGGAGAAAAAATGCTTGAAGAAGCTTGGGGCATGGGACAAGCAGAAGTTAAAGTTGCAGGATGAGATTACTGCCGAGAAAGAAAAAATTAAGGCCCTTTATAGGACTTTAGCTCAGACTACACAGGATGAAAAGGAAATTGAGGTACGTTGGCTCATGTATTATCTTTATTTATACCCTGAAAGTTCTTTAGATCTTCGCAACTTTGACTCTAGAAATTGTAGGGAGTACATCTTACTTAGGAGCCAAAAATGTTGACACATGTCTCATTTGAGGCATCCATCTAGTTGCCAAGCTGGTCCTGTATTAGATGGTAGTATGCCATAAACTTCAAGATCTTTTAAGAGGTATAGTCTGCAAGGGTGTATGGAACCTGGATTTGATAGGAGTATCATATGAGAAAATCAGTTTTGGGTTGTAGAACTCAGCCAGATGATTTGATATGCCTACTGATAAGTTTCACGGGAGATCCTTCTTCTCTAAATGATAGTTCATGTTTTCTGTCTGTTCCTAAGCCTTTACCTATTTTTGGGGATATTACCTAATGTTGCTACACATTTTGTTTAAAAACTTGCTTTTGATTTGCTCGGTTGCTTACTTAGACTGTGGTAGATGGCTGATACATGAAAGATTAATCAACTTGCCTCAATTAAACATGGAAAGGTTAGTCTATCAAATGCTTGATATATTTTTGCTCTTATGTTATTCACAGGCGAAATGGAGGCAAGAGCAGAAAGCAAAGGAGGAAGCTCAAGCTCAAATGGAGGAAGAACAACGCTCAAAAGAAGCAGCTGAGGGTCACAACAAGAGAAAGCTCGAGACTCTACGGCTAAAAATCGAACTAGACTTCCAAAGACGCAAAGATGATCACCAAAGACTAGAGCAAGAACTCTCTCGACTCAAAGCCTCTTCAGATACAGACTCAAGCCACATATCGAACAACGCTTGGCAACCCGAAAAATCCCAAGGAGAAAACATCGCTAAGCTGCTTGAAGAACTCGATAAACTTGAAGGGTCTTATGACAATGAAGCAAACTATGATCGAGAATGCATCATCTGTATGAAAGATGAAGTCTCTGTGGTGTTCCTCCCTTGTGCACATCAAGTTGTGTGTGCTAGTTGCAGTGATAGCTTCTTTGCAACCAACAACAACGGCGGAAGGAAAGTCACTTGTCCTTGTTGCCGAAGTTTGGTTCAGCAACGAATCCGTATCTTTGGAGCAACCTCATAAAAGCTCGAAATAACTTCTCTTCTGGTTTCAAAGAGACATCACAACTTCAGTTTTTACTTTGTAAGTACAAAAATAAATGTTTAGCTTCTTCTTGAGAGATTTTTTATACTCTGCAAATTTATTTTTTTCCCCGAGAAAATATCATGCATGATGTAAAATAAATTACGATCGTGATCAAAAACTTCGTTCGGTTTTCGAATTTTGTTGATTTACAGAAAAATTAAAACCGGTTAGTTTGGTTAGAGAGATTGTACAAATTCGGTTATTTAGCCAAAGTAATTAATTTTAGGTTTGGTTTTGTTCGGTTAGATCGGATTTGGACACTTGTAAGCAAAAACAATGGCAACCACAAGTTCTTAGAAACCTCAATTATTATTAATGCTTTGTCTAGTTTTCATCTTGTGTGTTTTGTTGTGTGGCCGTTATTTGCAAGAGAATGGCTTCGTGTGCCATCTCTAACACAATTCATCAGACTGTAACCTTCAAGACGTCGAAGAGAGTAAGTCCTTACAACGGTCTATTCGGTTGGAACTCCGACAAGAAAGCAGACAATGTCCGGCTGCCGCAACAACCGTCCTACCACGAGGACGAACATATTCCTTTCTCTCTTTCGTTGGTAAACAAAACTTTCCTAAAGGGTAAGTACTAATACTCTCTTTTCATCTCATTTCAAGTCTCTTTTTGAGGTTTGGGTTTTAAGAGTTCGAGTTCTATGCGTGGAACCAATTCATTTGGTCTTATATATGTATATATCCCCTTGATTTCGACTAAAGACAAGTCTTATTTAAAACTCTTCAAGATTGATAAGAATCTTTACTTTTTAAAATCAGGAAGAGAGCTAAAATGTTGCTACAAGGCAAGCATTGATGGGTTTAGTGCAACAAAGTTCCATGAGCGTTGTGATTTCAAAGGTCCATGTGTAATCATAGCTTACACTAAAGACATGGCTTTCAAGTTTGGTGGATTTAGCCCAGAAGGTTATAAAAGTACCGATGATTATTACGATACATTTGATGCTTTCCTCTTCTATTGGCTCGACGATTGTGATGACCCAGTAGTCCTTCCAAAGGTTGGAGGAAGTGGAGCTGCTTTATTTGACTATGCACGCGGAGGGCCTCAATTTGGAGCTGACGGGCTTCTTATAGGACCGCCTTTAGCTCCAGTGATGGGCGGATTTGCGGGTCCGGATACTAACTCGGGTGTTGGTGATTTGAGGATGGCTAAATCAAGATTGGGTTTGTCATATGCCAAGAGGAAAGATGGGAAAGAATCTATCTTTGGAGATGAAAATAAGGTTAGTCTTGATGATGTATTGGTCTTTTGTAGCCCCTATATTGCTTCTTTGTATTAAATTACAAAACCAATCTCAACAAATTCACCAATAAAAAGTATCCAAGAATCATTTTTATTTATGTAATTATACAACATTGGTAATACATACTTCTGAGACCTCAAAATCTATGAAAAGTGTATCTATAACTACTAGTTAAAGGTGAAGAGAATCTTGTAGTATGCAACTAGAATAGTTAAATCTTGATGACTTGATCCATGGGAGTGTGTTTGGTTTTGAGATTCAATCTAGTGAAATATGTTTTGCTTTACCGAAGAATGTGATAGTTCATGACTTCATTGTTCATATGAGCTTCTGTATGATAATCGAATGTGAATGGATTCTCTATCTCCCAATCGAAATTCAAATCTGCAAAGAACGCTGGTGGATACTCGAATTAGGGCGATGCAAATATTTGGAAACCAACATCTTCTTCTGTTTGTGATTGTGAATTTTCCTGCAAGAACATTGTATGAAGTTTGAGACACGGTGACATTGATTAAAGAATGGGACTTTTTCTCAGAATTTGGATTTAAATTAGCTAAACCTGAAAAGATGATTCAAGGATGATTAAATCAGGAGAAGACCAGCGTGTGTTACTTGAATCACAAGAACCCTTTTCTAGGTCACTTGCTTGACAAGAACTCTCAACATTGTTGCTCAATGGCTCATCTAAAACCTCTGGTGAGTTAGTTTCACATTTCTTAACCGTATGCTCATTCCGCTTTATCACACGACACAACGCAAAGTCTCCCTATAAATGAATACCAAAAGAAAATTATCAATTGGTAAACTATGAAAACAAGTATTGTTCTTTCCATCTTTTTTGGTTTAAGATGATCTTGTTACTTTGAAATTTACTGATCCTTGTGAAGGATCGCTGTCGCAGAGGCGATACTCATGCATTACCCAGTCGGTTCTACCACCAAAAGGGGCTCGACCCAAATGAAAAACTAGGGTTTTCCGACACCCAATGATAGAAGAAGACAAGGAAGAAGAAGTAGTATGACAAATGATTTTTCGATCTTTTCCTGTGGCTTTCCAGTAACCAGATTTAGTAGCTCTGTTTATCCGAGATCCGTTCTGGTATTTTCTGTCGCGATGACAGAAGAAAAACCATTCCATATCTCGATTTGGCAAGAAAGATTTCTCTGTAATAAAACAAAACACTAATCTTTTTTATATTGTAGACTCGAAAAATATAATCTTTTGAAGTTAAAGATTTTCAAGAAGCAACATATATACCTGGAAGCTCCCAAGGATCAAACTTGTATAAATCCATAAATGGAATGATTTCAAGCTCGATCTCAAGCCCTTCGTTTCTTCTGTGCAGGTAATAACCCACAAGTTCTTCATCTGTTGGATGAAATCTGAAACCAGGTGGTAAATATGATCCAACCATCGTCGTCTATACTCTTAAGTACTTGTATTCTTGACAGATATTAAATATAGAAACCCTAAGTCCTATTGCTGTGTTTCTTATAGCTCAAGGAACAGTTATTAAAAACAGAGTATATGGTAATCAGAAACAGGAAGATCAGATAAAAAGGAAAAAGATGTGTAAGTTTGGACCGTTTGGTAGGGGATTATAGGATTATATAGCAGAAGGAGAAAAAAATTGCTTAAAAGGTTTTGATTAAAGTATTAAGTATTAACACAAACTTAGATAAAGTAGTGTTATGTAGTAATATCTATTTTTTTACGTTTAATATAATACAGACCGAAAGGTTTTGAAGATTACTTTTACTTGTCTGAACAATGGCTTACCTGAACCAAAAAGCTTTTTACTTGCAGTTCACACACACTCAGTGAGTTGAGAACTTATTGCCGTCTCTAATTTATAGATATAAACATCTTGCCGTCTCTAGCTTATGTCGACAGACACCTTGCTGTTCTATTACCCATTGTGGTTTGGTTCATTCTTCATGGCTTCAAGTAGTTGCTTCGATGTCGATAACAAAACAAAACCTGTCATCTTTTGCTCTATTTTCTAAATGAAAATGTGAACATTAACTTAAGATTATCTAAGTGTCCATTAACTTAAAATCTTCCAAAATGTTAAATTATTTCTTCTATCCGCGTTATTCACCTTTTAGACATGACAAAACCACTTGTAGAGTTTGCTTTAGCCTATGTAAAGTTAGTTCCTTTACGTAATGGACATCTACAATGAAAAAGAATGAAAACTTGAACCCTTTAATTTGATTCTAGAGTAAGATTCTACTTTTTATTTTATTTTGGTTTAAAACACACACAAAAGTTTCCCACATATAAAAAGATAAGTGGAAGTCTCCAAGAATACCACATCACTTTTTAGTTGCAACATCAACATTTATAGGCAACTTTTAAAGTGTTGTAGAAGAATTTAGAATGTTTCCCTCACTATTATTCCAATATAAAAA